GACAAAGTCACACTGTAGATACACTGGGAATATTAGCGTTCACACACACGTGCATTCCTATCAACACAGTCAGACATAACACGCTTACAAACCACTCGTCTCTCCTGACAAAGTCACACTGTAGATACACTGGGAACATTAGCGTTCACACACACGTGCATTCCTATCAACACGGTGGGCCAACATGGATTTTTGAACTGTATTTTAAGGTCATTTTAGAAATCAAATAATTTCTCTGCTTTTGACTTCTGTGACTGTCATTATCAACCCTTTCACTTTCTTGACATTAAATAAGGGACTGAAAGATGTAAAGATAGGATAATGGACAGGGGCCTATGGAAGATACTGGATCTAAACATTCTCTAGAAACGCCATTTACTTTAAACCATGAACATAAAAAGAAGTGAAGCATAGAATGAGGCCATAGCTAAGCAATGAAAATACAAGCTAAATTGTTCATGATACTTTAGCTTAGCCTTCAATTAGTATTCTATCATTTTCTATAAGGTGACATACTTTGGCTTAAATGAATCAGGCATTCAAAATGACCCTCTGACTTAGGCTTTATTTACTTAAGAAACTTTTACCATGAACCTATATTCCAAATAGAATTATCATAAACCCTCAAATAAGTGAGAAATGGTGTTTTTAACCATCAAGTCCTAGTGGATTCAGTGGGAAAGCAATTTCTCCTTACTTTTTGCAGAAAATATTAATTTCTCTGAAACTACAGAATCGTATTAGTTGATTTTTTTTTTAAAATAGAGTCTCAGACCCAAGCCCGTACTGTGAATCCTTAGACAGTAAAGAAGAAATAGTTAACACTAGTAATCAATACACAAGCTGCCTTGTCATAGGACAAGATCTGAGATTCACTGTGTTTTAGGTTACGTACTAATGACCAGCATTTCCTATCCAGTTTCATGATTTTTAAACACTTCATATGAAGTGGTGAACTGAGAGACAAAGCAATTAAGGGAATCACAAACACACAGATACACAGACACACACATACAGATACATACACAAGATGGCCTGATTTCCAGAAAATAATTATGCAACCTAAACAAGTAAAGGATGGCACTTCCACATAGTAAGAACATTTTCTGTAGTAAGTATTCTTACCTGGTAAGACTGCTTCAGGATATAATTTAGGTCTATTTTTCATGGCTATGCAGTAGGCCAGAAAGTAGACTGTACTTGTAAGAAAGATACCACTGCAGTGTGCAAAAACATAATCTAAATCTGAAAGCACAAATTATAAAAGTCTCAAACATATCATTTTAATCATTTCAAATATATTTGGATTTCTGAAAATAAACTAAAAAATTTAACTTTAAAAATAAAGAACTAGTTACATGTAATCATTCTACTTTTCTACCTGCTTTTATATAAGGAGCCCTGGTGGAGCAGTGGTTAAGTGATTGCCTGCTAACCAAAGGTTCATGGTTTGAACCCACCAACCACTCCCTGGAAGAAAGACACAACAGTCTGCTTCTATAAAGATTACAGCCTTAGAAACCCCATAGGGCAGTTCTACTCTGTCCTATAGAGTCACTAAGGAGCCCTGGTGGTGTGGAGGTTAAGCGATCGACTGCTAACTAAAAGGTCAGCAGTTCGAAACCACGAGTTGCTCTGCGGTAGACAGATGTGGCAGTCGGCTTCTGTAGAGATTTACAGTCTTGGAAACCCTATGGGGTTGCTATGAGTCGGAATTGACTCGATGGCAGTGGGTTTGGTTTGGTGTAGAGTCACTATGAATCAGAATTGACTCAACTGCAATGGTTTTAAGAGGTGGAAATGGTTAACGCACTGGGCTGCTAACAGAAAGGTTGGAGGTTCAAGTCCACTCAGAGGTGCCAGGAAGAAAGAAAGATCTACTTCCAAAAAGTCAGCCACTGAAAATGCTATGAAGCACAGTTCTACTCTGGCACACAGGGGGCCACCATGAATTGGAGTCAACTCAGTAGCATTAAAAAAAAAAAAAAATGATGTTAATATCTTCTTTTAGAGAATAGCTATTTAGACCTTCCCACACGTCGATGTTAAGAAATTTGAAAGACAGTTTCCTGGCCAACCAACTGGACCAAAAGATCCATATCTGTGCCCATTTCAAAGAAAAGTGATCCAACAGAATGTGGAAATTATTGAACAATATCATTAATATCACACACAAGTAAAATTTTCCTGAAGATCATTCAAAAGTGGTTGCAGTACATCAGCAAGGAACTGCCAGAAATCCAAGCCAGATTTACAAGAGGACACGGAATGAAGGATATCATTGCTGATGTAGATGGATCTTGGCTGAAAGCAGAGAATACCAGAAAGATGTTTACCTGTGTTTTATTGACTATACAAAGGCATTTGACTGTGTGGATCATGACAAATTATGGATAACATTTTGAAGAATGAGAATTCCAGAACACTTCATTGTGCTCATGAGGAACGTGTACATAGACCAGGAGGCAGTCCTTTGAACAGAACAAGGGGATACTGTGTTGTTTAAAGTCATGAAATGTGTGCTTCAGGGTTGTATTCTTTCACCATACTTATTCAATCTGTATGCTGAGCAAATAACCCAAGAAGCTGGACTATATGAAGAAGAATGAAGATCAAAGACCACAGCCTTCAGTATGGATTACACCTCAACATAAAGAAAACAAAAATCGTCACAACTGGACCAAAAACAACATCATGATAAATGGAGAAAAGACTGAAGTTGTCAAGGATTTCATTTTACTTGGATCCACGATCAGTACTCGTGGGAGCCCCCCCCAAAACAAACAAACAAACAAACAAAACCATTGCCGTGGAGATGATTCTGATTCAAGTGACCCCACAGGACAGAGTAGAACTGTCCGCAGGGTTTCCAAGGAGTGGCTGGTGGATTTGAACTGCCAACTCCAACTCATGGTGACCCCATGTGTGTCAGAGTAGAACTGTGCTCTTTAGGTTTTTCAATGGCTGATTTTTTGGAGCTAGATCACCAGGCCTTTCTTTTGAAGAGCCTCTGGGTGGATTTGATCTTCCAACCTTTTGGTAAGCAGCAGAGTGCATTAACCCTTGGCACCAACCAGGGACTCCTTGATAAAGATAAGTGGCCATGTTTAGGGAGGAAAGCTTGGAGGACAAGGAGTTTGTCCACTCTTCTAACATCTTAAATTCTACTTCTGGATCATGTAAGAACAATAGATCCACCTATTAAAAAAAAAAAAATTTGTCAAGTCGATTCCGACTCGTAATGACCCTACAGGACAGCATAGAACTGCCCTATAGGGTTTCCAAGGAGCAGCTGGTGGATTCGAACCACCAACCTTTTGGTTAGCAGTTGGACACTTAAGCACTGCACCACCAGGGCTCTTCTGGATCATACAAGAACAACAGATCCACTGATGAACCATCACGAAAAAGCAGCCTAGCACAGCCATTAAGAACACAGACTACCTCGGTGCCAGTCCTCATCCCACTACTCAGTAACTTTGGAACTTGTACGAGTTATCTAATATGTCTCACTTTTCTCAGTTGTAAAATGAAGATGATAATAATATCTAACTGATAAGATTTCTATGAAGATTAACTAAATTAATGTTTGTAAAGTGCTTAGAACTTAGAACAGAGCACGGACCTAAATGAATGCAGTAAACAATAATGTCCCCCATGTAGAGTTATTTTTGAATGAACTGCACTAAAGTGTGTTGGTATCAGATTAGATTGAGGGTTGTCATAAGAAATGCTCCTAAGAACTCACTGTTCTACTGTGTAAAGAGATTGTTGAGGACATTGTTTATTTTGTCCCAGTACCAGGAACAACGGTAATCCAGAACAATTGGTTGTTTTTACCTTGTGTTCACTGAATCGTAGAACTGATTTGAGTTCCCTTATAAACTGGATACAAGAAATCTTAGAGCCAAATTTATGGCTCATTTCTAGCAAGTGTGTAAGTGTGGTATGAAGTTTTTAGACTTATTCCTGGTTCTGTGTTATTTCATCACCCTTGTTTTTTCTTCTCTCTTATGTTATTCTATTTATATTAATTTTTATCCTTTAAAAAGGATAAAATCTTTATATCTCATAAATCTTAATATTCTCATAAAAGACAGAAATGAATAAAAAGTTTGAGTACTGTATATATACATACAATGAGAGAAGAAAACTATAATATCTACTCAGTCAATCCATTAAAGTCAAGTTTAAATTTCAACTTCATCCATCTCTCTCTCATGACTTTTGCCTTCCAAACTTCTTCTCCCTCATCTGAACCTAGATTATATTAATTTTCTGTCCCCTTCAATTTAGTGCTTTATGGTCCATGATTTCATACTCTTATCATTTTATGGGTGTAAAACATGTTTCAACATGATTAGATATTCACCTTATAACGTCTAGCATGGGACAGACATACAAATGGAATGATTATAAGACCCCTGAATAGATACAGTCTCATCCCTGTTTAAACGTGTACGAGGCTGCTGCACACAGCGTTGCATTTATGCCTGAGAGATGAATTCCAGCATTGAAAACCGAGATAATCAGGAAGCATTATGTTGGGCCCTCAGTGTGCTACTCTGTGCTTTAAAAATAATATCCTCTGACTAAATAGGCTATATTTTGACCTTTAGGAACATTTACTTGATTTTAAAGCACTATGTACTATACTTTAGCCTTTTTTAAAAGAGGAGAATACATATTTTCCCAGAGATCATCTAACTGGAAGATAATCTCACTGGAAAGCCTAAAATCATGTGTCAAGATGCAAGTAGTTGCAATGAATCCTGACTAAAGTTTATTATATCTGTATGTTAAAGATTACACGAAAATACTCAAACAATCCCTTATTATTTTTAGTCTTTGGTGCCTTTCTAGTTCACCACTCAAAATGAAAACGTAAGATCCAATGTATTTACCAATATTTACTGTTACCACAATTCTTTTTATATTCTTAAGTTACAAAATATATATTAATGAGTTCATTTATAAAGTGGAATAAATGAACTTTTTGACCTTACCATATTGACTTGCCCCTGCATACGTGCTATCATTTCTTTTGCTGTGGTCCTTGATATAAATGATTGGCACAAATGTACATCCATAGAGTACTCCAGATATCACTGCAAGACTACATCCCCTTAAAAAACAAATAAATCACCATTACTCTTGACCCGAAACAATATACCTGATGTACATATAAATGGAATCATAATTAAAGCATGCCTCAAAACGTAAATCATAAGGACTTATGCAGAAGTCACTGCATCTCAAGCTCTATGACTGGCAGAAGTCAAGGAAATACCCTGGGGTGTCAAAGTGGTATCAGGACTGAGAGTACAGCTTCTGTCTTCTGCTGCTCATGATTTATAGAAATTATAATGGGCATTATTATAAATTGTAATTATATAAATGAGAATATTGCGGTCATTATAAGTGCACATAAACAAATGCAGCTCTCTAATTAAATAATGAGGTATTTGTGGACCAGCACTATGCCTTATGCTTCCTTTTTAAACACCTTATAACATCCAGCACAGGGCTGGGATAGACTAAGTACTAGAACCATTTTTGTTTAAAACAACCATTGATTTACCTATGCCTTAATTAACTGTGGCATGGTCAAAAGGGAGTGCTGAGTTAGTCCAATAATCTGGATATTTCAGATAAAATATTCCTCTTTATAAGAAGACCATATTTCATTTTAAGCACCAGAGCCATGCTGACTGCTTAGACTCAGGCCATATCTACATGTAGCAAGGATTTTGTGGGAAGGTGATTAATATTTTGCAATAGGCAGTTCCTTTAATTTAATACAAATGACAATGATATGAAACAGGAAATTCTTAGCCAAAAACGCTCACCTTCTAAACCTATGAACAAACCCCCAAAGTCTATTTTAACAGTGCTCTAAGGAATATGAGACTGTAGCCATCCATAGGACCATCTCGGCAATGCGTCTAGTCAATCGGAAGTCCCGGCATCAGGGTGAAGCCTGGACTTCATACTCCTGGAGGCGTGCCCTAAACACAGACCAGACTGATAGACCAAACCAACCCAAAACGAAACCCGACTCATGGACTAATTACACAACAGCCACAAAGGTTTTTCTTAACAAAGAACAATAGAGAAGATACTTTTTGAAAAACCAATGTTTTGTTTGAGAGCTCTGTTTTATTATGAAGTAAGTACCACCTATAAAAATAACACTTATTTCTTCCAAAGTTGTTAGTTCATTCACTCATTCACTTAAATATTTATTGAGCACTTACTATGTGCTGGAGCCCTCGTGGTGTAGTGGTTAAGAGTTCGGCTGCTAGCCAAAAAGATCAGCAGTTTGAATCCACGAGCCGCTCATTGGAAACCTTAGGCGGAAGTTCTACTCTGCCCTAAAGGTTTGCTACGAGTCAGAATCGACTTGACGGCAATGGGTTTGATGGTTTTTTTTTTGGTCAACTATTTATTGTAACTAGACAGACCACACTAAAGCAGTTGAACTTAAGGACCTCTGTACCTAAAAATTCAGGAGGGGACAAAGAAAACTTCTCCACGGAGTCAAGGAAGTCAGAGCTTATTCTGGAATTCAGATGAACGTCACTTCACACTGGTCATCCTAAGACTGGTAACCTCCGCTTTAACCAAAGTATGAAACAAAGTAATGGAGCAAAGAAGTAGCCTCTGCTTACACTATGCGTTGTTGTACTGTAGAAAGTTTATCCACCCAGGAATAATTAGGACAGGTATCTTGACTTGTGTTGATCGCCTGTTGAAAACATTGGCACAAAACAAACAAAAATAGCATACTGTTGATAATCCTGCTGGTGATGAAAAGATTTCCAGTGATTTTCTAAACTTTATCAAGCATCCTTTAAAATATGAACATGCTACACGATCTACTCTGATTCTGTGGGTATCTCTAGGCTTGACTATTTCTGATTCTGTTCCTCTTTCTTTTAGAATGGGTTAGTGTTTGCCAAATAATTCTTTGTTTATATCTTTCACAGCTTAATATATGGCTGTTTTGATACACCTATTAAAACAAACAAAAGTTCTGAACTCTTGTGTTTCATCTACATATTTTATTAGCAAAGAAATTAAAACTAAGGAAAACTCAGACTCTCCTAATATGGAATGCCTGAAATTAATGCAGAGTTTTTATACTGAATTAGCTAATAAAACACTTTCAGCCATGTTTCAAGATTTGGCTAATATTCCAAGCCAGAAAAAATTATGGGAAAATTAATAATATCTCTATTATTAATCATCTATCTCTTAGCTGGAGTCTAATGTTATATTTACTACTGCTTTGGTAAGACATAAGAAACTAGACTGGGGTTCTTCACCATGGACCAAGTCAAGCTTTCGTTTGGAGATAATGCCTTCCTTCATAACAAGGAGATGATGATGTGTGGTGCATACTAACCGCCCTGTGGTTTACATATTTTTAAACCTAGTTTGCTTATATTCTTCCCTTGTGCCTGAAAGAATCTAAGGCAGTTAGCCTACTGTGTATCTTTTACCAAGCTGTGTTTCTTTTAGTTTTAATTCTTTTTTTTTTCTTTTTTTTGAGGGGTGGGTAGTTAGGAGGGTCTAGATCCTTAAATGAGCCAAGGAACCCCAGAAACCTTCATCCATTCTCCCTGATACGTTTCACTACCTATTAGACATGTCTATGGATTAATAAACCTCTTCTCTCTCTTACACTTAAGCTAATTATTATTCAACTTAGTGTCAATTAAACTAATTATGACTTAATTCAGACAGTTTAGCTGATAGGAATTTTAATAGGGGAAGGAGAAAAGAAGAAACGATTATTTAATTTTTTGTATTGTACTTCAGATGAAGGTTTACAGAACAAATAGTTTCTCATTAAACAGTTGCTACACATATTGTTTTATGACAATGGTTAACAACCCCATGACATGTAAACACTATCCCTTCTCGACCTTGGGTTCCCTATTACCAGCTTTCCCATCCCCTCGTGCCTTCTAGTCCTTGTCCCTGAACTGTTGTGCCCTGTTAGTCTTGTTTTGTTTTATGGGGCTGTCTAATCTTTGGCTGAAGGGTGAACCTCTGGAGTGACTTCATTACTGAACTAAAAGGATGTCTGGGAGCCATACTCTTGGGGTTTCTCCAGTCCCTGTCAGGCCAGTAAGTCTGCTCTTTTTTTGTGAGTTAGAATTTTGTTCTACATTTTTCTCCGGCTCTGTCTAGGACCCTCTGTTGTGATCCCTGTTGGAGCTGTCGGTGGCGTTAGCCGGGCACCATCTAGTTGTACCGGACTCAGTCTGGTGGCGGCCGTGGTAGTTGTGGTTCATTAGTTCTTCTGACTAATCTTTCCCTTGTATCTTGTTGTCTTCATTCTCCCTTGCTCCTGAAGGGGTGAGACCAGTGCAGTATCTCAGAGGGCTGCTCACAGGCTTTTAAGACCCCAGACACTACTCACCAAAGTAGAATGTAGAACATTTTCTTTATAAACTGTATTATGCCAATTGAGCTAGATGTTCCCCAAGACCATGGTCCCCACAGCCTTCTGCCCAGCAATTCGGTCCCTCAGGGAGTTTGGATGTGTCTATGGAGCTTCCGTGACCTTGCCTTGAACAAACTGTGCTGGCTTCCCCAGTATTGTGTACTGTCTCACCCTTCACCAAAGTTACCACTTATCTATTGTCTGTTTAGTTTCCCCCCCACCCCTCCCATCCCTCATAACCAACAAAGATTTTTTCTTTTTTTGTGTAAACCTTTTCGCGAGTTTTTACACTAGTGGTCTCATATAATATTTGTCCTTTCGTGATTGACTGATTTCACTCAGCATAATGTCCTCCAGTTTCGTCCATGTTATGAGATGCTTCCCAGATTCATCATTGTTCTTTATCGTTGCATAACACTCCATCATGTGTATGTACCATAGTTTGTTTATCCATTCATCTGTTGATGGGCATCCAGGTTGTTTCCATCTTTTCGCTATTGTGAACAATGCTGCAGTGAACATGAGTGTGCATATGTCTATTTGTGTGATGGCTCTTATTTCGCTAGGATATATTCCTAGGAGTGGGATTGCTGGGTCGTATGATATTTCTGTTTATAGCTTTCTAAGGAAGCACCATATCATTTTTCAAAATGGTTGTATCATTTTGCATTCCCACCAGCAGGGCATAAGAGTTCTGATCTCCCCGCAGCCCTTCCAACATTTGTTATTTCCAGTGTTTTTGATTCGTGCCAGTAATGCCGGGGTGAGATGGTATCTCATTGTGGTTTTAATTTGCATTT